GATATGCACTTTAATGAACTCAAAGTGTAACCTCTCCGCGCGGAGCTGCGGAACAGCTCTCGGTTGGTTTTAGAGCCGGCAGCACCGGTAGTGGTAGTTCCCGTCAAACTGCTTCTACGGCTAATATTTACATTTATTAACTCTCTCGTCGTAAATGAAATTTTCAGATAACTTTTAGGATATAGCCTGAGGGTTATAATGCTATCCAACCGACCGCCCACGGTCGTTCCGACGTGCTCAACGGCGGGGTTTGCGCGTTCACTGTCTCCCATCATCTCCTGTCTCTTTTTCTGTTGCTCTCGTTGCATTGTTAGAAGCAGATTAGCCAATAACTACTCCCAGGGTAAACCCTCAGATTTAAAAGATGGTACTGCCTCTGATTGAGAGTTGCGCAATCCTCTCTATCCGTTTCCGCTCTTTCATTCGTCCTTTTTCGCGTCTCTGAGCACCTCTGAGATTTTTAAGGATAGAATCTATCAATTTAGATCGATGCACCGTTGACGGAACGCACCGGGCGAGACAATTCCGATAACGTCTTTGTAAACGAGCGAGTGTTTTCGAAAAGGCCGGATGTTGCGTGCAAAAAGCATTTTATCAAATATATATTTCGATGATTAACAAAAAATATATCAGAAAATATAAGGCTACAAAGGCTATGGTTCATTCGCAGGCATAATCGCTATGGAATGTAGAACGCAATCCACGAATGGGAAAATGACTGTTAATTGTTTCGTTACATAACTGTTGCATATTACATAACGTTACATATCCGCCCGTGGCTATGCGCCACGTCAAAGCCACGATACGCATTGTTCTCATATGCATCGTTTTAGACAAGCTGCCCTGAAATGTTGCCAAAATTTCACGTCCTGTCATACTTTTCATACGACTCTAACGAGTGTGGAAATTTGCGTTTCGACGTGCAAATCACGCGACGTGCGCAAGTTTCGAGTTCGGGATTGGATATTTTGCTACGTGCCTCCTTTGATTTCGTCAAAAATTGTGTATACGCCTGAAAAGTTGGAATCGAATAAACGTAAGCACGTTGATTGGTCTAACAAACTCATTAACGAGGAAAACATTCCTGTCGGTTCTCGCGTTCTGATACTCTTGATTACTCGGGAAAGCGGATTCTTTTTACTTTTCTGACTGGATGGTTTTGTGCCTGCGGGTCATCGAGCTGGATAATGAAACATGCAAATGGAAATGAGGCAGTGCTGTGTCAGATAATATTATGACTGTCCACAAGAGGAAGAGCGAACGCTCGGTCATTTCAGCGTACAGACTTTCAACGATGCTTTTACCATCAGCGTTGAAATTCTCACACTGTACTTTATTATTGCAGCTTTCGAGGCGGATCTTAACATCCAAGCCCATCATTCGTGAAAAATAATACTTGATCGTTATAATCGGCAATTTGTAGGAAAAACGGACGCAATTTTGTTTTCAGTAAAACGGAATTTAGCAGTCGAGTTTAACGCATTGCTTTCAACATTCGCTTAAACTGCTCCATTGTATATCGAAATTTATTCATCTCGAAATTTATTTTTTATTGCTGCTATTTCCATCGACAAAAAGGGCCTTACTTCTGTCTAGATTAATATATCGAGATATATCATAATTCAAGGTATTATAAAGTATTCCTCCCGTTAAAAAAATTAAATAAAAGGATTGAAATAAAAAAAAATATATACATATATACATTAAATGAATAACCAATATCAATTGAAAAAAATAATTTAAGCTTCTGAAAGGTTGGAAATCTGAATCGCGTACACATATGGTGAAATCTGAGCCATTATGCCATTTCCATATATTGCCCTGCAGGATTTGTACAACTTACCGGTGCATTCGGAGCAAGAGCAAATTCGCAAGATCTTCCCGGAAAAACGGGCGCGGATATTCTACGACATGTGATGTGTATGTGAAGCAACAAGCCGCGACAGGACGCATCTAGAAGCATTCGCCGCAAACTATTTTGCAAGGAGGTAATAGAGAAGGATTCAATATTTCCTTGCAGGCATGGTATCGCCATGGTTACGGCTTCAGTCATGCGGATTGCTTTCCTCCTTCTTTATGTTTTCGTTGTTTGACGTCGTTTCCCTTGGCGGGCTTCTCATTCAATCCTCGAGCTCGCTCGCGCAATACTGTTCGCAATGCGTATTATTTTACAAATTTTCTCTTTATTCCGGACGCCGTTGTTGAACGCGCGCCGTCGCGCGCAACATTCCGTTCACGTAAAACATAAAACTCAACACGCTCCACTTGCGGGAGCGTAAGAACAGATTGATACGAAAGTAATACACGTCCGAAAATTCATACAGAAAGGCGTCGTGCGGTAGTTTGTAAACTGAGTTTGGTGCAGATCGCTCGACACGGACACGCCGAATATTTGCATGCATATATGTATATCATTTCCGGGGGACTCAAATGTTGTAAACAGTTTAAGTGAATTGTCATGCTATACAACGTCAATATACGATAAATGTAATTATATATATATATATATATATATATATATATATATATATATAAAACTTGCAATTGGTTACCGTGTTCTCTCAATGCATTATATATCAATCGTCACGTAAATGTGCAATGTAATTTTGAATTCAGCTCTTCAAGTGGCTAATATTATTGCTAATTATGAGAACTACTATGAAAATATTGTTGAATTTTAAAACGTCCTCGAAGCGGAAATTTAAAATTCGCTAATACCCGGTAGATCTGCAGAATTTTTAATTTTCCCTGTATACACATACACGAGCGAGAAATACAGACTAAATGGAGACATTCCGTGTTCTGAGTAGTAAGTTATTTTTTCTCTATTATTAAAACTCTTAAAGAATGCTCTATTACTTGCATTTCTAACACAAAACGAAAGATTGCTAAAAATTTATACTTACATATGTATATACGAGCAAAAATTGTTGATATTTTACACTTGAGGTATAAATTGTATCTGTCTTTAGAAAAGGTCTAATTGTTTCATTGAAAATATTAACATTTAATAATTTTTAAATGTATTCTTCTCTCAACTATGCTGATTAAATCTCAGAGAAAATACATTAAGAAAAATTAATTAAACATTAATTTTCATTAAATTAATTAAACATTAATTTTCATTAAATTAAATTAAAAAGTTTTACACTATAAACTTAAGTTATAAAATTATTTTTAACATAATTAAAACCTTTAATGTGTGTGTGTGTGTGGGGGGGGGGTGTGTACATGCAATATCTAAAAATGGAGATATGAATATTATTAAGAAATTTAGATAAAAGCTCTATATATTAAAATGTCAATATTTTAATTTATATATATATATATATATATATATATATATATAATTTTATTTTATTTCTTTCTCCTTTATTTTACTCTTTAATATTTTTCTAAATAATAAATTTGAAAGTTTAATTAATTACAATATATTAAATTATTGAAACAGTATCATCATACTCTTATTAGCAGTTCAATATTATATTTTCATGTTTTCTCTCCAGAAAATCCTGCATATATTTAAGCACATATCTCATATATGTAACGAACTATATAAGTCAATGAACATTAACATGTATTTCAGAGTTAAATATTTATAATTATCTGTCCTATTCCATTCATTTCAGAATAATGTATTTATGTAATATTACATTCATACGTAATATTTTTATTATTCTTAATTTAAATTTTTGCGAACCTATTATCACAAAATTATATAAAATCAAACATTTCACTTACCGATATGATGGGCAGCGGCAGTTGTAGCATTTAACGTTGACCTGTAAAATACAAATATATCCAAATTATAAAGCAGTGCCCAAAATAATTATTATTTCAAAATAATTATTATGCCTAATTAAATTAAATATTTCTCTAAATCGATACTTGATAAAAAAAAATAAATGCCGAAGGAAATTTGTTTAAATATATTTTTCTATAAAGTACAATAAATGAAGCTTTAATTTTCATATATAATATTCATAAATAATTTAAATAATTATAAACTTTAAACAGTATTGAAACATTTTATATACATTTATATTGCGATATATTAATTATTATTAAACATTTTAAATATTTCAAAATAAGATTCACAATATTTTAAGTGCAATTCCATTACACGATAGTGTAAAATCGATCACTACCGCGGAGATACGCGCAATTAATCTCAAAAACGACAAAAGTAAATTAAATTATAAATTGTGCTCACCTCAAGGTTGCTTTGCTATTGCTCGATGTCTTCCCAAATTTCTTCCTCCATTCTTTGATATTTTTCTTCGATTTATACTGGCACTTACACTGATATTCACGCGCGAAAACGCGGTTAATTATGATCGCTCACATTAATCACACAGAAAGATAACATTTGATACTTTTGAATATTTATTGCGAATATTTCACGAAATACAAAGTACGATATAACACGAAGCGATACATACTACTATCCATTCACTCGAATGGCAATATGACGACTGAATGTAAATAATAGCGCGTACGTCGAGGAATTCGGGTTCGTTTACATTTTACGCCGTTACGCTTCGTCTCCTTGTTGTCATTCGCGCGCTGAGACTCGAGTGAGTAGGTGGTGGGGTAAGTGGTAGAGTGAGTCGCTCCGTTTTGTACCTCATTATTAACCTAAATACAATTGCGACGAGAACTGGGAGCTACTGAACGGATATTTTTTTCCAATTACAACTATTATTGTACTTAATTGCGCGTCGCCTGTGTGATTAATGTTAAAAATGTAAAGTATCGCGAACACCGTTTTATCGATCAGTACGCACAAACGTAATTAACTGCGTTACTTCGCGCGCGAAAACTGTCAAAATGAATATAACTATGAATGAAGTGAAATCATTCTGCTTTTCTGTCAAGTGAGAATGTATCTAATTCTTGTTGCGATTTAGAAAAATAATGAGATATTAAAACGGAGTAACTTTACTGTGCTCACTCGATGACGTATGACGCGCCATTATTTATATTCGAGTCTCATCGGGAACGACGAACGTAAACCAGCTCCGAATTCCTCGGCGTGTGACGTATTATTATTTATATTCGATGATCGTGTCAGTCATTCAGCGGGATTCGAACGAGCGGGTAGTGATATCTGCCATTCTGTGTTACATCGTAATATATATTTCGCGAAATATGATTGTGATAAATACTTAAAAATATCGAGTGCTAATTTTGCCATTAATGTGCGCGATCGTAATTAATCACGTCTCTACGCGTTAGTGAGAGTGTAACGTGTCTGAAGAGAGAGAGAATCAACAAAGAGAAGAGGAGGAAGCGTAAGAGACATCGGGCGATGGTGAAACAACGGTGAGATGAACACAATTTATGATTAAATTTATTTTTGTTTTAATTTAATTTAATTTACTTTTGTTACTTTTGAGATTAATTACTCGTCTATTCCTACAGTAATAATTAATTTTGCACTATTGCATAGTAGGATATGTACATTAATTTTTCTAAACTTTATTTTGAAATACTTAAAATATTTAATATTATGTATATACATACATATGTATATGCGGACGTATATATATTTAAATACTTGATATATATAAAATATATTACAACATTGTTTTAGAGTTAAGATTATTTGAAATATCTATTTAGAGAAATACAAAATTTAATTCGCTCGATAATTATTTTTCGAAAAAATAATTGCTTTATAATTTGGATATGTTTATATTTTACAGATTAATGTTACATAATAGAGCTCCGCTGCTGCACATCAGATCGGTGAGTGAAAGTATTTCTTTTTATTTTTATATAATTTCGTAATAATGGATTTATGAAATTTTCAAATTATGAATAAGAATATTATAAATAAATATATTATCTCATAAATCTATTGTTCTGAGATAAATAGAATATATCGATATAAATAATTAATCCTAAATGTAAATTAAATCTGTAAATTAAATCTGAGTTTCAGGATTAATTATTTATATTAATTTTTGATTTATTATAAAAGTACACACATAAGAAGCCCACATAAGCAGATATACAATTTAAAAAATAAAATATATGATTTATAACAAAAATAAAATATATATGTTTATCATATTGAAAATAACTTGGATAAAGTAATAGTAATACAATAAATACAATAAAATGTGTTTATTAACATTGTATCATATATTCAAAACTTAAAATTTAATATATGTATAATTATTTTTTGGAAATGTAATATTTCAAAGTATTAATCAAAGTATCAATTAGAAGTTTTATTCTAGTTTGCTCTATTGAAAAAATATTTGTATAATAGAGGTAGTAAAACAGTTTTAGTAAAATAAATATTTATTAAAAATAATCAATATTATTTATCTGCATTAAGCAGAAATAACATAAATAAATTTCATGTATATTTGTACTAAAAACCTGAATTAAATTTGTATTAAAAATTTTAATATTTCAAAAAAAAGAATATTAAGAATAAATGGGTTAAATATTACATTGTTATTATAATTAAATAATTAAATATTTTTTTAACCAAAAGACAAAAAGTTTATTTACGTCAAGCATATAAAAGTATTAAAAATGCTTGCTTATGTGGGCACGTGTACGATTATAAATTCTTAACGTTCGCTGGCACGTTTTTTGTCAGAATAAAAGTATTAGGGGATACTTTTTGATATTACTTTTTTCTCATGATAAAAAACAATAATTTGCCGACAAGTCCAAGTAAAACTCTATCTAGTCTAACATTTTCGCTACTGTGTGCGTATACAATAATTAAAAATTCTTATCGCCCGTTCCTGCGCGTTTACCAAAATGTAAATTCTATGACACTTAAAATTTTTCACAATAGAAAAGAAAATTTTATCATGTCAGAATTAAAAGGGATTCCCTTTAACTCGAAATTTATGCGCGTTTAAAAAGAACTTTTAAAATTTCATAATCATTTTCTTTGCCTTTTATAAAAAAATACTTGTACTTGTGCTGCAAATATAAAGTTATATAAAGACAATGAATTATATATATATATATATATATATATATATGTGTATATATTCTATAGATTTATAGAAAATATCAAATATAAAAGAAATAATAGAAAAGATATATATATATATTAACACACACATATTCAATTTTTTAAAATACATATTACATTTTTATCATTATTTTAATGTGTTACATATATATACACACACATATATATATATATATATATATATATATATATATATATTTCTATACTTGCTTAATATTAAACAAATTTGAAATTTTTATTTCGAGAGCGCTGCGAACTTGAGTGGTAAGAAATTTGTACGTCGTTACGATTAGTACGTGTGAATATTGATAATTATAGCGTCACTAACAAGTTTCCGTTTGCTTCTCGCGAAATATTCCTCTTAATTACAGTCTCTGTTGTTTCTAGTTATTTATGTCAGGAAGACTATTTCTCTCTCTCTTTCTCTTTCTCTCTCTCTCTCAGTTTCTTCCTCACGTTTTGTTTGCAGCGTTCCGCACTAGCTTGCTTTTATTTAATGGTCTTCCCATCATATTCCTCGCTACTGAATCCGTGTTATTATCTCTCAACGAGCTAGCATACCAGCTAAGGCTCGCTGTTCACTTAAACTTACTGTATTCATTATTAATGCCGGTGCGATATTTCTACCGTGACGCCCTGATAACGCAACATCTTAATGCATTTTACATTACGTATGGCGTATTACACTTTGATTTTCACACCTGGCTCCTATCAAAATCGTAGCTAAAGATCGATATTCGGTACAAAGGAGAAGTTTGAAAGCGATGGAATTTCGTGGATAATATTGCAGCTACATTGAAGGGGCCAATAACATTGTGCACATCTAGAGGAATACATTGTAGTGATATGGTGATATGACCATAGAGATCATGTAAGGGGTTCACTGTATCACATGACGCTCGTATTTCATGACCGACGTAATATTGATTTTATCTTCGGCACCGGACTATTCGTGTTAGACTGTTCCGGGGGCGATACGACCGTTTAATAGCGCTCGACATCGCAATAAATGGTCAAGGTTGCACAGTGCGAACGAAAACAGATAACTTTCGATTGATTAAGGTTATCGTATTAATATTGATTTACTTGTAAATCTAAGTATTAATTTTGCTTCAATCGTGATTTTGCGAAATTTAGTTTTCATCGAATAAAATTGCGCGCAAAACGACAAGAGAGGAACGTATCTTTAATCGTGAAAAATTAAATTCATCATTGAATTGCCTTGAGGTAAAATGCGCTCGTTTCACTAATATTAAGTTGCTTTTTGACGCTATCCAATCGTTAATAAATAGCCGAAGAAAGTTGAATACGCGTACCGACGTGCACGTAACAGAAAGCCCTTTGAACGCGGAAAAGGTTCAAGATAGACGAAAGGGAAAAATAAGACAGTTTGCTCGATTATACTCTTCTTCGCTTCGGGAACTAGCGCGAGAGGTTTATTACGAACTCCCGTTTCGCTCTTCTTTCTTTTGTCTCCCTTTCTCCTTTCTCTTTCTTCCTCCTTTCCGTCTTCGATCCTTTACTTCCTGGTTTGCACCCTCTTTCCCAGCTTTCACGTTGTGTACTTCAACGATGTCTAACGCACTCTATGAACAAAGCTCCGCTTTCGGGAACTCGTCATAACGCTGCAAATCGATTCATGAGAGATTCTGAGGATGTGGAAGCGCATATATATATCTCTGTCCTGTAATGTCTTTTTATCGAGATAGCATGCTTGTCTCTATAAACCGTACGATTGCGTATATCGATCTGGATCTTTTCGCTCTAGTAGAAATAGAAAATTTAGCGGAAAATTTTCTCATTAAGGTCTCTACGTCAGAACGGAACGTTCTGCACTTTATCACTTCGCTCGAGATCTCTTGGAGTAACGATTCCATCGGTTTACGCGCAGATTTGCAAAGTCCAAAAAAGCTAGCGGGCATACTTCCAAGAAAAGAAACTGACGCTCTCGCATGGCGAGCTCGAACTCTTTCGCGAAAGTAGTTTCGACTTTCGACAGTCACATAACTCGAGTCTTCTCTAATGTAGAAAATAGATAAAGGACGAGTGATTCGAAAGAGGTAACCAAACTTTAATAAACTATACGTACATATGTATATATCTTATGTATGTATCTTATACATACATATATATCTATATATGTATGATATGCAGCTACGTGTGATTACTGATGTATAGAGCTTGCGTCTCTCATTTTTCCTCTTTTCTTTCGCGATACTTTTTGTCGCTCTATCCTTCCTATCTCGGTCCTTCGCCAATATAGCGACGTCTACATGAGCGGTAAATCAGTTTATCCTATTTGCTCCGGTAGCTCCTACCGGCATTGTTTGGCAAAGAGTAATTCATTACATTCTATGACTCTACGAGACGTGAATGCATCCCCTTCGATAACTTCGGGACCATCCCTCCAGTAGCGTCTTCGCGTAAAGTCCTCTTATACCACGACGCTACTCGAAAGGCTTGACGCTGCTGTATACGGCGAGTCTCGTGAGAACTTTGTCGTGGAGCACGAAATGTTCCGCCGACGATATGGCATCGCAATCATGACCCGCTTTTACGCAAATTATTCCGCCGCGCCGGGAGAGACGATGCATGTTTCGAAGACAAATGGAGAAGAATCTTCGCATCGATAGCCTGAAAATTCTCAAAAATCGTTCAAAAATCGTTTCGTTTTCTCTATTCACATTTATTACTTGTTAATTAATTGCAACTGTCCGCGTGTGGGTAAATATATTTTCACAACGTGCATTGTATATAATCTCTAGCTTCTCCAGTACAAATCGCGATCCGCAATATCTTTCTGTTCTTAATACTCCACTCAGCTAAAACGCTAAAGAAGAGGAGGTAAAATAAGGCCTATGGAAAGAGACGCTTGATGCACGCTGAGTGCAGGCGCACGGAATGCCATTTCTCCACTTGTATACAGCGCGTAATGTAAATGACACATATTGCCCGAGGGAAAATTGTGGAAACAGCCGCCTGGGTACGAACAGAGAAACGAAGAAAGAGGGAGGAAATGCTGATAGCGGTCGGATGGCGAAAGCAAAGAGAATAATAACGATGAGAAGATGAAAGTAGGGAAGTAAAGGAAACGATGGAGAGAGACTATCCTGAAATAGGTATTCATCGCCCTGCGGTAATTGGATCGCGCGCGGTTCTTCCTCTACCTCTGATAAGGATTTATTATTCAAATCAAATGTTTTGAGAAAGCTTCTTATATTTGTCGAGATCGTCGCATGACGAACGCTTCAGTGGCTGCCAATCCTTTCTTTGGAAAGCATCGCACTCCGTGCCTCTCGAGTGGTCGTGAATTTAATCAAGGGTAACCGGGACAATCGCAAAAATGGAATAGTAATGCGTAAGGTCAACGGTGAACTCGGTCGCTAAAGGTTCCGCTAATGGCCTAGTAAGTCTGTGTTTCCAACAACGCCTTTAAAACACGACGAATGCAATAAAATCTCGAAAATGCATCGCAACGCCATCATTTTTCGCGTAACAACTATTTCTCGCCAATCGCGATTTTTAATTCCCGAAAACGAAAAAAAAATTTTTCTACACATCGGACAGAACGATCACGCGCAACAAACAGCCTGACAAATTTCATTTCGTCTTGGCGCGCACGGTTGTGGCGTGCGTGCGCGCGTGTGTATCAGCACTTTCCCAAAATAAAATGAAATTTGCAGTTGATGGTAATTCAATAACGAAACCATTACTCCGCTGCATAGTGCGCACATGGCCATAC